GCCTCTCTCATCAAATATTCAACCATATTTACCAACTCTCAGTCAACGAAATCAGCGGGCAATCATTCGCTTGATTATCTTTAATCAAGCCGAGGAAATATTGGAATTCACTCGCAAGCGCAACTGCGTTAATTTTCAAATTTTCATCCTCTTTGGATTGGGAAAATGAACTTACCGTGATTGCAGCGTCTGTCTGAATGTAACCCATTTGTTTATGGTGTAAGCCCAATTCGGCGCTCTGTCTATTGACGCTGCTGACAACTCCACTGGTTATTGTGTTGCTCAGGGCCAGGGGAGATCCAATTGCAACCACGAATTCACCGGGGCGTATATTTGAAGAACTACCGAGTTTCATTACAGGTAAGTTTGTCTGGAGAAAACAGAAAATGTCAGACGATTATTTAATTGCAAAAGCTGATCTATTTCAGGAAAATCAAATGGAAATACGACTCTAAATAATTAAATACTATTTTATTTTGCATATTTAATCGCCTTGAGACTGAAAAATATTCATAATTTAATTATTTATTTATTATTTATTTTATAATTTACTTATTTATTATTTACATTTTATATTTATATTTATATTTTATTATATATTATTATTCATTATTTGATTATATTATATTTTATTATATTTATATTTTATATTTTATTTTTTAATTTTTTGTCGTTGTGTTTTTATGGTACAACGCTTGTATTTTCGTTAAAAAAATAGTATCAACAAATAAAAAATCATGCAATTCACGATTATTTTATGAAAATCCAATAGAAATACGATTTCTCAATAATTAAAAAATAATAATTTATGCGAAAAAAACCTTATTTATTCGAACAGTCGCCAAATCGCTCTGCATATCGACGTCCTCCACAACTCCAGTGTAAGTCGATCCGTCCTGCAATCTTACCTTTAAAAAAGTTCATGAAAATATGAGGAGTGTCAAGCTCAATAAAAATGAGACGAAGATATTGATCTCTATCTATCGGGTTATTTGGAACAGGGAAGAGGGGAGGGAATACCTGGGACGGGAGCAGGTGTTACTGGACTTACGTTTACCTTAACTTGGGTATTTGGCTTATTAACAACCACGTGAGCATTTGTGAGGATTAATCCGTCCGAGGAGACGATGAAGCCAGAGCCGTTGCTGGTGGTTGCGGGTTTACCTGTGAAAAAGTCCATCCTATTCTCGGATTAATCATTAATTCTGGAGGATTGTTCACTCGATAGTTCGGGTTTGCAGTGAATTTTTTCGGTGTTCTTTATTATTTTTTTACATTTTTGTGACGTGACGGTAAAATGTGACACCATGAGGCGGACGATTTTCATCATTTTTTGAATGAGCATTTTTTAAATCGTCAAATTCCAATTCCAAACTCCATACGATTGATTTTCCAGGAGGTCATATTCAATACATCAAAATTTTGTTAAAAAATATTGGAAATTGCAAGAGATTTCTAGTAGATTTCCGCTTCCGAATGGAAGTTTTGTAATCGTTTACATTCAAGTTTTGGATTATTTGTGTTATATCGCCCCACTATGATCCAAAAATTCCGAAAATGAAATGCAATGAATTTTTAGAGCTCGTCCGCACGTGTTGTGCATGTGTGTACGTATCTAACAAAATTTTTCTACAATTGTTCGCTAATGAATGGATGGAATTGAATTTTTTTCCTAATGTAGGTATTGTTGAGCCCTATCGATCTCCATTAATTAAAATTTAATTCATCGATTAGTTTTTTAATTTTCGAATTTTTTCGAAAATCGGTTGTCCCACGGCAACTAAAAAAAATGTTCTGAATTGATTGAATGATGGCTCAAAAAATTTGTTTGGGTGTCCTTTTGACCGAGTTCGAAGATGAAGGCGATAGCAATAATCGTTATTTTGATTAATTTGAAAATTTGAAAAAATTTTGTATTTTTTGAAAATCAGAATTCCGGGGATATCTTTGAATATCATGCTTCAAATAAATTCAATCGTAGCTTAAAATATTTGTTTTAATGCCATTAAGTCGAAGTTAAAAGATGATTACGATAGCTAGATTGGTTGATTTGATTTTTATGATGATTGTTGAAAATTTCGAATTTTTCATGAATTTCCTGAAAGTGAGCTTTCTGATGGTTTCTTCAAATGTGATGTTTCAAATTCATTCAACTATGTGTAAATAAAATCTTTAATTCATGAAGGTCTCTCTACAATTATTTCGTTAAACAATAATTGACAATAATTTTGGTATTAGGCATAAAATTTTTATTTTTTTCCAATGTTTTAGGCGTTTTCTATTCTCTATTTTAATCTTCTCTCTAATCTCGAAAAATGAATTTTTTCATAAAGAGATAGAACTGTAAAAAAGACAATCGGTTGTATAGAAGAAAGGGATAATAAGAATAATGATGATGATAACATTCAACTGAGTTGAAAATCTGACAAAATTAGTTGAAAAGAAATCTTATTCAATTTAATAAAATGAAATAAACAATGAATTATACGTGATAGAAGGAAATGACGTGCAAAATAATCATTCGGAAGTATATTGCTAATTTATTAGCAAAAATAACTGTACTATGTGCAACACAAGAGCAATTTCCCGCTTGTTGCGCTTGTTTGAAAAATTCATGCCACAACCCGATTGATTCAACACCGACTGCATTCGAAACTTACCTCTTCTGGTCCTTGATCTCAATATAGACAACAGATGGCGCTGATATCTCGACGACATCCGCGATGAAATTGTATTTTTCGCGATTTTGGCTGATATCAGTGACGAAAAAATTTTTACCCGCGTGAACACTCGGGAATAGCGTTGAACCGATAGTGGAAGGATTGATACACTCTAGGAATTCCCTCCTCCACTTGTACAGCAAATAACCAACGCCGAAAACAGCCCCGGATGTCAGAGCCCAGGTTAGATTGATGTTTTCCTTAGTCCCCTCGATTTTCCCTCTGTCATTACAGAATTTAGCATTTTTATTGTTTAGTAGTCGAGGGAAGGCCGACACCACCAGCGATCTGTGGTAAAAACTTTGATTTCTCTCGAGAGTAGTGGATATTACGCGGGACAAGGGCGCGGCCATTTTTCACTGTTCAAATGCCGCGAAATTGCGTCATTATTTTTGAATTTTTGAATTTGAAGACGGGGAACGCAAGCATAATTACTTATTTTCTCTTATTTACTTATTTATTTGTTTATTCATTCATTCATTTATTTAATGAAACACGAATTCAACAGCCGAAGCCAATCAATTGATTAGATTTTATCCTGGAATTCGTAGATTTATTTCGAACTTTTGGAGTCGCATTAGTCAATTTCAAGAATTTAATTTCAAGAATTAAGTAGCGAAGCAATAAGACGGTTGAAAGTAGTGTTCAAACTCCTCAAAAATAAATTTGAAATGCCTGAAACAAAAATTATTTACTATTGGTATTTTTTTACATGAATTCTAGCTTTGACGAGAGTAAAGAATTAATTCATGAAGGTCTCTCTACAATTATTTCGTTAAACAATAATTGACAATAATTTTGGTATTAGGCATAAAATTTTTATTTATTTTTTTCCAATGTTTTAGGCGTTTTCTATTCTCTATTTTAATCTTCTCTCTAATCTCGAAAAATGAATTTTTTCATAAGTGTGTTATTTTGCCACTTCTGAATTCATTGTTATCGATAATAGTGGAGTGCCAATTGAGCACGAACTCAACCGGAATGTTTTTATTTATATCAACTTCCGTATGGAATTTATTTCATATTTTCATCTTTAAAATTAAGTTATGTTTATACTACTTCAAGTCGATTTTGACTACTGGGCAGTTTTCAATGGATATCTCGGAATCTAAGAGGGATAGCAAAATTTTTGTCATGACCTTTTTTGTAGCCCTCAATTCGCTCTACAAATAAGGTCATGACAAAAATATTGCTATCTTCCTTGGATTCGGAGATATAGTACCTTGAGTATTTTTTTGCCAGTAACATGCTTTTCTACTTTTGTAGTCGAACATCAGAGCTTTTATTTGAGCCCCATTTGATCCTAAGTTTCCGAACATTTTACAATGACTTTATTATTTAAACTTTGCAGGGCTGAATTTGAATCTGGATATTAAACCGTTAAAAAACATTTTTTCAATCTAAAAAAAAAATTAGAAAATTTATTTTTGGAAGAAGATTGATGAAATAATGAAAAAATTGCAATTTTTGAAAATTACGAGCATTTTTTATAAATAATCTATAAGCCATCAATTTTCTATCGTAAAACTCATTTGTTCGGAATCATAACAAATTTATTCATATTCAGAATTATATCACAAATCAATTTTATGTCTAAAAAAATAAGGTTTCCGGAAGTTCAAACAATTTCAATTATTTGCTTATAAATAATGAATGTTTAAAAAAATAATAATTCTGCGCAAAATGTAATTTGAATGACGTTGAATCACAGATCGGCATCAATCATTACTTTAGTGATATTCTGAGAAGTTGTACCTTACAATAATTGAGTTTTTACTTACCTTCATTGAAATTCTAAAAATAATTTAATAATGGGTAATTTTAATTTCTCAATTATTGGTTGATAGAATAATTCAAAATTTGAATATTTAAGTTGATGACTGATAAAATAATTCAGAATTCAAATATTTACATTAATGACTGATAGAAAAATTCGGAATTTAAGTATTAAAACTGCCGGTTAATTTAATAATAAAAAAAATTGGTGAGTAATATTAACAATTCTTTTTCAAAATTTAACTGTAATTAAAAATTATGATTATGCCGATGTCGGCGCTGAATATTCCTGATTTTTTCCAAATTGTTCTCACGCAATTCACTTGACAAATTTAACAATTGAAAATAGTTGAATAAATAACCTGTACTAAACTACAAAAGACACTTGGATATCCTCAACCCGTTTTACCCCTTCGCCACTGAATTTAATTTCATCAGCAATTCAAAAAATAGCCCCGAACTATTGACTCAAAATTAAGGGAAAATGAATGAAAACAAATTAGATGTAATCATCAATTTGCAGATTTATTTAGAATTCAACACCGATGCTCCAATAATAATGCTTTTCAATTCGATCAAGTTTTATTGTTCATTCTCCGGAGAAAGCCTCGAGTATTCCTGTCCAATTTTCCGATCGTTGAATTCATCACTGATTCTGCAGGACGAATCCACATGACAGTTCTCTGCAAGAAACAAATAACATTTCTTGGAGCTATCGAGACGATGTGTGGGATGTTTTACCTTGTGAACAGCAAATTCCATTAGCAGCACATCTGCCAGTATTGTCTCGACACATGGCGAAGCCTGCGATGCATGGACGAGAGTACAGACTCTCGGTTCGACATTTATAGGTCTCCGGAGTGCCTATAAAGCAGCCAATTGCTGTTCCACAGCAGATATTAGGGCCGAAGCACTGGCCTTGATGTCCAGGGCCACAGCTAGGGCACTTGAAGGATTAATTATTATTAATTTTTTCAATTTTTCCTGAGGCGAGAGCGCAGGAAGTCTAAGACAGATCGCAGAATTTTTGTTTCCGAATGGAATGCCGGTATTGTTGAGCCCCATTGATCGCCATCAATTAAAATTTAATTCATCGATTAGCTTTTTTAATTTTCGAATTTTTTCGAAAATCGGTTGTCCTGCGATAACTAAAAAAATGTTCTGAATTGATTGAATGATGGCTTAAAAAATTTGTTTGGATGTCCTTTTGACCGAGTTCGAAGATGAAGGCGATAGCAATAATCGTTATTTTGATTTATTTGAAAATTGCAAAAATTTTGTATTTTTTGAAAATCAGAATTCCGGGGATATCTTTGAATATCATGCTTCAAATGAATTCAATCATAGCTTAAAATGTTTGTTTTAATGCCATTAAGTCGAAGTTAAAAGATGATTACGATAGCTATATTGATTGATTTGATTTTTATGATGATTGTTGAAAATTTAGAATTTTTCATGAATTTCCCTGAAAGTGAGCTTTCTGATGGTTTCTTCAAATGTGATGTTTCAAATTCATTCAACTATGTGTAAATAAAATTTTTCTGTTAACATTTTATCGAAGGGCTGAGGGGAGAGATAGAACTGTAAAAAAGACAATCGGTTGTACAGAAGAAAGGGATAATAAGGATAATGATTATGATAACATTCAACTAAATTGAAAATCTGACAAAATTAGTTGGAAAGAAATCGTATTCAATTTAATAAAATGAAATAAACAATGAATTATACATGATAGAAGGAAATGATGTGCAAAATAACTATACTATATCCAATACGAGAGCAATTTTCCACTTGTTTTGATTGTGGAAACATAATTTTTGGAGACTTTGAAGAACATTTCAGTAAGATAATACACATGGCTCTTAAGATGGAAATATTCCCGAGTCAAGCGCAGCAAAATACATTGATGACAAAAAATTGCATTCTTTTTTAAAAGAGAATACCACGAAGTGGGGAAAAATACCTCTGCAGCCAGGCTGTGCAGCGAGAGCAATGGGTTCTCACCCCTTTTGCCCCCTCGGGGGCAGTTCGTGATGAGACAGGCGCAACTAACGCAAACTAGCGCAGAAATGATCAAAATTATTTTCGACATGTTTAAAAGTTTGATGCGATTCGTTGACTATTGGCGCGTGGTGCTGACAGTGCCAAAGTTGAAATTGTACTGCTGCAGATTCATCGGGGAATTCTATATTTATACAACTCAGGGAGATTTCAAATTCCCGGAGGGGATTTCGCATGGGGGTGGCCACAATGGAGCACTCTAAGGATTATGATAATTATTTGTCATTGAATAAAAAATGCAGCACTGTGGAATTTTAAAAAGATGGTTTATTCAGTTCTTATTTTTCAATTGTCGTTTCTTCAATTTTTTGCCCCTCAAATCTCCATTCGCAGATTTTTCCTTGGAGGTTTGGGATTTAATTTTCTTCTGTTTTTTGCTCGGCACTTCTGGGGCGACTGCCTCGATCTTGACTTTTTTCTTCTTCTTCAGGGAGAGATCTTCTTCGTTCTTTCGTTTTTTAGGTGAACGGAGGACAGGACAGTCTTTTGCGATGTCATCTGGAAGAATAGTTCATTTTCATTTAATTTTCTGTGAAGTTCAGCAATTAAATTTTTAATTAGTGATTTTTACACTAATTTTTTGTGATTTTTAAAATGAATTTGAATAATTGCAAATGATGTTCAGTTTCTTACTCCTCAAATCTCCATTCGTAGATTTTTCCTTGGAATTTTTTAATTTAATTTTCTTCTGCTTCTTGCTCGTCACATCTGGCGCAACTGCCTCAATCTTCATTTTCTTATTCTTCTTTACGGAGAGATCTTCCTTCTTTCGTTTTATGGGTGATTGATCTCTAGGGCAGTCTTTTGCGATGTGATCTGAAAGAATAATTCACTTTTATTTTAATTTTAAGATTTTTTTTCAATTAATCAACATTACGAAAATTTACTTCAACATTTTAATTATCTCAAATTCAATCCAATATGACACTCATTTTTTCCAGAATCTCGTAATTAGAATTGAAACTTTCATTTTATTACCAAAAAAGAAAAATATTCAATTCGATTGAATTGAAAAATAATAATAGTAATAATAATAATCATGAAAACTAATTAAGGGTTTTTTAATTGGGTTTTTGGTTCAATTAAAAATTCTAAGAATTGAAGCACGGGCAATATCTGGAATAAATGGAGAAAGTATGACTGTTTTCAAAAATACATTCATCTTGCGTCGAAGAGAATTGAATACCATTCTATGAAACATGAATAAATGAATCATAATTGCCCAAATCATTTAGGTCAGAGGAAAATAGACTACTTCAACTTTCTTAATATTGTGTTTACTAAGGTTTTCTTCGAACAAAATTGACTAGAATTAATAGCTACAATTATGAGGTTATCTCACATTTTTGACGTTAAGGATAGGAGAATCTGAATGCAATATAGTGAAAATGATGATCGATTTTTTCACTCTGAACAAATAATATTAATATACAAATACAAAATTTCTGATATGAATAAAAAGAAGCTGTGACTCAATATTCCAAATGAAGTTTTAATTTTTAATCTGGTGCTGATAACACAAGATGACAATATCCTAAGCACGGAATTATATTGATGAGATGAACAACAGATTAATTGAATTACCGTGTGAACTAACTAAAAATTGATAACAGTGTGGGCACGCACTTTTACCAGAGTATCAACAAACATTGAATTCCAGAAATTCACACTCTAAAGTGTGTTCCAGAAGGAATTGACTTGTAATTATGATTAAAATCTTCCAGTGAGCGTAGGAATTAGAGCATGAGTAGATCATTTATCGTAATATGAAAATTTAGCAGCTGATAAATTGGGACATATGATTCTCATCGGTCGTATTGCTTTTTGCAGTGAGACAAAGGGGCATCAACACCCTTCGGGCGGCGCTACTTAAATTAAAAGAAGACTAATGTCGCTCTGAATGCATAAATACCTGTTCCACAACATGTAAAACACTCGCCCGTAATTTTCGGCTTAATTCCACAGACGTGTTTCTCGAGAACACATCGTTCACATTTATCACAGTGTTTCCAAGTAGGTTTAACACATCTGTTACAAATTTTACAATGTCTGTAGCGTCTTCCATCCTTCGATGTGCATGATTTACATAATTTACAGTGTTTATTCTCTCTCGCCACCCACTTATCACATCTCTTGCACCACTTGTACCCGTCCTCTGGTAATTTCAGTAAATTTAACGATACATTTGTGAATATACGAACAGGGGAGCCGTACTTTCTACCACTCGAGCCTGTCACGAAGAGAGGATGATTTTCATAATCAACTTTGTAGTCTGACATCTTCAGGTCCTTCAGACCTCCATCGACCCCACGGGGATTCGATTTATTCAGCATTATGGATTCCATGAAATATGGGAGTACGAAAAATATCTTCAGTGTCTCGTTATTATCGAGTTTATTCAAAATCCTGTGGGAATCGGTTATTGACTTTATCGTCTGGGACATGAATTCCACTCGACCACCGAATGGGGGGTCACAGACCAGAAATATATTCTTTCCATTGTCCTGGGTGAGAAAATCATTAAAGACTTCTTGGGATTCTTCGGTGAAGAAGTGGTTGTTGAAGAGATTGTACCAGCAGAAACTCAGAGGTCCAAAGAAATTGTGCTAATGAGTAAAACAAATTGACTTTATTTTTCACAAGCTTTTGCACTGAATTGTGAATTAATTTTTTTAACATTTTAATGCTTAATTGTTTACGAAGTATTTAATCGATTATTTTTGAAAAAAGACTTTCTAATTTTTGTTCAGGTTCTTTTAATGTTTCTTGAAGCTTCGAAAGAAGAATTAAATTAATTTAAGAATTAAATTAAATTTTTCAACTTTTTAATTCTCAATTGTTTATGAAGTATCTCATCAATTATTCGTAAAAACAGGCTTTTTAATTGTTGTTCAGATTTTTTAAAGTTTCTTGAAGCTTCAAAAGAAGAATTAAATTAAATTAAGAATTAAATTAAGTTCTTTAACATTTTAATTCTGAATTGTTTATAAAGTATTTCATCAATTATTCTTAAAAACGGACTTTCTAACTTTTGTTCAGATTCATTTAAAGTTTCTTGAAGCTTTGAAAGAAGAATCAAGTTAAATTACGAATTGAATTAAATTTAACATTTTAATTCTCAATTGTTTATTTAGTATTTGATCAATTCTTCTTAAAAACAGACTATCCAATTTTTTTAAATATTTTTTTAGAGTTTCAAAAGAAGAATTAGATGTAGAATTTCAGAGTTTAAATCGCAAAATCATTGCAAAATCTTCAAATATTTAAAAAATGGCAATTTTAATTTTACTTACGTATCTCCCATCAAAATCGAGTAGAAGACTCGTCATCTTCTCATGATTCTGTGTAATATATTCATGTATTCGAGGGGCACCGATGCACAAGATATGTTTCGCTCCAGCCTTTATCAATAAATCAACGACCTCAGCTGTTGCTTTCTCCGAGAACAAGTACTGGGCCTCTTTCTTCGGGTTGGATAGGGGTTTGAGGATCTTCGTGGGGTTTTTCAATTGATCGTCAGTGACTCCAGTTGTCAATTCGTGATCCTTATGTTTGGCGATCTCGTTGACGAAGTATAGTCTGCCACAGGTGTGGCAGTATCCCCTGTTCTCTGGACGTTCAGATGTGATTTCATTCAGTCTCAAGAAGTATTTTCTGTGATTGTATTGTTGAATGAACTTCTTCGATTCCGCCTGCCACGCGTTCTTCTGGATTTTAGTCAGTTTATCGGTCTTTTCTAGGTAGAAGTTGCAGAGCTTTCGGTCTCTGCAGGCTGAGCAGGCGTAGTACTGCGTTATTTCTCCGTTTAGTCTTTTTCCAAATAATAGTGTTGGTCCTATGATTACATTAATAGCGAGATAAAAATCGAATCAAGTGGGGAATTGCTCTTGTATCGCATATAGTATTGTTATTTTTGCTAATAAATTTGCAATATGTTTCCGAATGGTATTTTGCACGTCATTTCCTTCTATCGTGGATAATTCATTGTTTATTTCATTTTATTAAATTGAATAAGATTTCTTTTCAACTAATTTTGTCAGATTTTCAACTTAGTTGAATGTTATCATCGTCATTATTCTTATTATCCCTTTCTTCTATACAACCGATTGTCTTTTTTACAGTTCTATCTCTCCCCTCAGCCCTTCGATAAAATGTTAATAGAAAAATTTTATTTACACATAGTTGAATGAATTTGAAACATCACATTTGAAGAAACCATCAGAAAGCTCACTTTCAGGGAAATTCATGAAAAATTCTAAATTTTCAACAATCATCGTAAAAATCAAATCAACCAATATAGCTATCGTTATCATCTTTTAACTTCGACTTAATGGCATTGAAACAAACATTTTAAGCTATGATTGAATTTATTTGAAGCATGATATTCAAAGATATCCCCGGAATTCTGATTTTCAAAAAATACAAAATTTTTGCAAATTTTCAAATTAATCAAAATCACGATTATTGCTATCGCCTTCATCTTCGAACTCGGTCAAAAGGACATCCAAACGAAGTTTTTAAGTCATCATTCAATCAATTCAGAAAATTTTTTTAGTTATTGAGGGACAACCGATTTTCGAAAAAATTCGAAAATTAAAAAATTAATCGATGAACTAAAATTTAATTAATGGCGATCGATAGGGCTTAACAATACCTACATTTGAAAGAACGACTCAATTCCATTCATTCATTAGCGAACAATTGAAGAAAAATTTTGTTATGTACCCACATGCACACAGATGTAGGGGAGGGTAGGATAAAATGGACACTTTTGACTTTTTAAAAAATATTCATAACTCAGAAACAGATTTATCAATTGAGCTCAGTTTAAGCTCATCACAAATTCCATTTCACGAACAATTCAACACGTCATGAATATTTAAAAAAAAGTCAAGTGTCCGTTTTACCCTACCCTCCCCTACGGACGAGGTCTAAAAATTGCATTTTCCAGAGAAAAAATCCAAAACTTAAATTTGAACGATTAAAAAGCTTCCATTTAGCAGCAAAAATTCTAGGAATTTAACTCAGCCAATCTTGAATTATTCTTAATAAAAAATATTCTACTCTGATCTCTTTTTCAAGAAGTGGATAAAATTGAGACATTTTTTAATGTAAATTACATCGACGAAAACTAACTTCTGATGATACAATTTCTTGCGGCAGTTCTTTAGACAAATGCAGAATTACCAAACCAAAAATTATTCCAGCTCAGGCCATTACTGCTCCAACTAACATACCCCACCCAAAAATAAATATTCCTTTTTATAAATTACCATGAGGACACTGCGGATGATCCTTCAGATTCCCCCAAAAGCACTCCACCCCAGACCCCGAGCCTTCAGCACTCATCTCTCCTCACAACCAAAAAATCTCACTCACAAAAACCCACGTGAGCACGTGAGTCCCCCAAGAGCGCCATAAACAACATCACATTCAGGTTAGAATCACCAGAATAAATTGTTTCAGGTTATCCAATACTCAAAGGGTAAAACAGTCTCCAAAAATTTGAAATTACAAACTTTATTTCTTACATCAGTGCAAATATCGCTTAGAAAGTACAAAAAGCACGTAAAAACAGATTAAAAATTCATAAACCCATTACAACCGACTCATGACGAGTCCCCCTACTTCCCCAGTTGTTTTTTTAAATTACCGGCGAGTTTGTCCATGAACTCGAAGGTCTCCAGGTAGTCAGACCTGGTGACGCTGCTCATTCCCTTGATGCAAATGGCAAGATCCTTGGTCATGAAGCCCTCCTCGATGGTGCTGACGCAGACTCTCTCGAGGGTCTCAGCAAAATTCTTGAGCTCTGGATTCTTGTCCAGTTCAGCACGATGAAGGAGTCCCCTAGTCCAGGCGAAGATGGAGGCGATGGGGTTGGTGGAGGTCTCCTTGCCCAGCTGATACTGCCTGTAGTGACGAGTGACGGTCCCGTGGGCTGCCTCGGCCTCGACAGTTTTGCCATCGGGGCAGATGAGGACTGAGGTCATCATCCCCAGGGAGCCGAAGCCCTGGGCGACAGAGTCCGACTGCACGTCACCGTCGTAGTTCTTGCAGGCCCAGACGAAGCCCCCCTCTGACTTCATGGCGTAGGCCACCATGTCGTCAATCAGACGGTGCTCGTACCAGATGCCTGCCGATTCGTATTTCGTTTTGTACTCGGCGTCGTAGATCTCCTGGAAGATGTCCTTGAACCTGGGGAAATGGGAATTTTATTGCTATGATGGAAGGAAACGAAGGGAGCCGAAAGTGTGAATGAAAATCAATTTTTCTGATCAAAATAAAAATCGTGAGGAATGTGAATTCTGATTATTGTGTCTTGGGGTTATTGAATTTGTGGGGATTTTTGGTTATTCTAGGCCTGTTTGAGTGAGTGACTAATTTATTCTTTGATGATCGTATCAGTTTTGCTTCCGAATGGAATCTTTGCAATCTTGAAAATTCAAGTTTCGGATTTTTTGTGTTTTATGAAGCTATTGTGAGCCAAAAAGTGAATGTGCTATTGTTCACTAATAAAGCGATTGAATTGAATCATTTTTCTCTTCAAATGTAGGTATTGTTGAGCCCTATCCAGTGACATTAATTAAAATTTAATCCATATGTTAAATTGTTGAATTAAAAAAAATTAAAGTCAACTTTCTGATGGTTTCTCAAAATATGATGTTTGAAATTCATTCCATAATATAGATAGCATCATTCTTCCATTTGTATTTCGTTTTGTAATGGGCATCGTAGATCTCCTGGAAGATGTCCTTGAACCTGGAGAAATGGGAATTTTATTGCTATGATGGAAGGAAACGAAGGGAGCCGAAAGTGTGAATGAAAATCAATTTTTCTGATCAAAATAAAAATCGTGAGGAATGTGAATTCTGATTATTGTGTCTTGGGGTTATTGAATTTGTGGGGATTTTTGGTTATTCTAGGCCTGTTTGAGTGAGTGACTAATTTATTCTTTGATGATCGTATCAGTTTTGCTTCCGAATGGAATCTTTGCAATCTTGAAAATTCAAGTTTCGGATTTTTTGTGTTTTATGAAGCTATTGTGAGCCAAAAAGTGAATGTGCTATTGTTCACTAATAAAGCGATTGAATTGAATCATTTTTCTCTTCAAATGTAGGTATTGTTGAGCCCTATCCAGTGACATTAATTAAAATTTAATCCATATGTTAAATTGTTGAATTAAAAAAAATTAAAGTCAACTTTCTGATGGTTTCTCAAAATATGATGTTTGAAATTCATTCCATAATATAGATAGCATCATTCTTCCATTCGTATTTCGTTTTGTAATGGGCATCGTAGATCTCCTGGAAGATGTCCTTGAACCTGGGGAAATGGGAATTTTATTGCTATGATGGAAGGAAACGAAGGGAGCCGAAAGTGTGAATGAAAATCAATTTTTCTGATCAAAATAAAAATCGTGAGGAATGTGAATTCTGATTATTGTGTCTTGGGGTTATTGAATTTGTGGGGATTTTTGGTTATTCTAGGCCTGTTTGAGTGAGTGACTAATTTATTCTTTGATGATCGTATCAGTTTTGCTTCCGAATGGAATCTTTGCAATCTTGAAAATTCAAATTTCGGATTTTTTGTGTTTTATGAAGCTATTGTGAGCCAAAAAGTGAATGTGCTATTGTTCACTAATAAAGCGATTGAATTGAATCATTTTTCTCTTCAAATGTAGGTATTGTTGAGCCCTATCCAGTGACATTAATTAAAATTTAATCCATATGTTAAATTGTTGAATTAAAAAAAATTAAAGTCAACTTTCTGATGGTTTCTCAAAATATGATGTTTCAAATTCATTCCATAATATAGATAGCATCATTCTTCCATTCGTATTTCGTTTTGTAATGGGCATCGTAGATCTCCTGGAAGATGTCCTTGAACCTGGGGAAATGGGAATTTTATTGCTATGATGGAAGGAAACGAAGGGAGCCGAAAGTGTGAATGAAAATCAATTTTTCTGATCAAAATAAAAATCGTGAGGAATGTGAATTCTGATTATTGTGTCTTGGGGTTATTGAATTTGTGGGGATTTTTGGTTATTCTAGGCCTGTTTGAGTGAGTGACTAATTTATTCTTTGATGATCGTACCAGTTTTGCTTCCGAATGGAATCTTTGCAATCTTGAAAATTCAAGTTTCGGATTTTGTGTTTTATGAAGCTATTGTGATCCAAAAAGTGAATGTGCCATTGTTCGCTAATAAAGCGATGGAATTGAATCATTTTTCTTTTCAAATGTAGGTATTGTTGAGCCCCATCCAGTGACATTAATTAAAATTTAATCCATATGTTAAATTTTTGAATTGAAAAAAAATGAAAGGGAACTTTCTGATGGTTTCTCAGAATATGATGTTTCAAATTCACCCCATAATATAGATAGTATCATTCTTCCATTCGATTTATAAAAGAATTTCGGAAATTATTCTCATAGCATTCAAAAATTTGTTGTTTTTCCATCTTTTGGAAAATTTACTTCCACTGATTATTTGAATTAAAAAAAAGAAAGATTAAAATTGATTCAATTATCATTAAAACGACCTACTTCGACTTCAATTTCACCGAATAAAAGGATGGTATAGATATATATTATTTCATATTTGAAATTTCATCAAATATTAAACTAACCAACAATTAATAACAATAACAATTAATAATAATAATAGTCATAATAATATTAATAATCATTGTTAATTATTATTATTAATATTATTATTATTATATTAATAATAATATTATTATTAATATAATAATATTATTATTATATTAATAATAATAATAATATTAATAATAATTAACAATTAATTGAAGAAGAAATTTCATTCATTTTAATCAAACGATATGAAACGATGAATTATGTACTATAGAAGCAGACGAGGTGCTAAATAACCATTCAGAAGTATATTACTGATTTATTAGCAAAAAAAATTATACTATACTATACTATTTTCCCCAATTTTGAAATCTCTAGTTCCCAAAATATTTCTCCTCGACATAAAAATTAATTACAAACCTTCCATCATATTTCTTCAGAATTGTATTCTTGGTGGACAGGTACAGGGGATACTTCCTGGACAGTGCGTACTGCAGAGAGCTGTGGGCAAATGCCCTGATGCTCTCATCGGTATTGAACTGAGCCTGAGCTATTCCAGCCCCTTTGAACTCGTGAACTGTGTGCTGAATCTTGTTTCCATCAGTGCCAGTCCAAGTTATCTCTAATTTTCCTGCACCAGGCACCACAAAATCCGTTGCTTTGTACTGATCGCCGTGGGCATGCCTGCCGATTATTATGGGCTCGTTCCAGCCGGTCACGAGACGTGGAATGTTCTTGCAGATTATGGCCTCCCTGAAGACTGTTCCTCCCAGGATGTTCCTGATTGTTCCGTTGGGACTCTTCCACATTTGCTTGAGCTTGAACTCCTCGACTCTCTTCTCGTCTGGAGTTATTGTCGCACATTTTATACCGACGTTGTACTTTTTTATTGCCTCAGCGCAGTCGATTGTCACTTGGTCGGAGGTGGCGTCACGGTGCTCGATTCCCAAGTCGTATGTGTGGAGTTCAATGTCCAAGTAGGGGAGGATCAGCTTGGTTTTTATTGAGTCCCAGATTATTCGGGTCATCTCGTCCCCCAGGATGTCGACAACTGGACCTGCCTGAGGGAAGGCTTTTTAATGGAATATTTTAATACATCTAAAACATTAAAATGGTCGTGACAAATATTTTGCTATCGCCCCCAGATTTTTTGTGAATGAGCGGAGTTATCTTAAATTCTTATTTCAGTATTCTCTTCTTCTAATTCTTCATGTCATGGAACTATCATTAAGTGAATTGTCATTCAAGTTTTGCGTATTATTTTGTTCTGGAAAATTATTCAGACCCTCTCAAGACTCGAATTCGTTTTCGGGTTTAATCGAGGTTCAATCAAGGCTTAATCAGTGTGTAGCTGGAATTTAATCAGGGTTTATTCAGGATTTAGCCGGAGTTTAACACGGGTTCTGTCAGAAGTTAGTCGGGAGCATGAATCAATATGAATAAGTATTCAACATAGCAGAGTGGCACCCGAGTTTAGAGATAGAGATTTTTATAACATTTGTTACTGAATATCTGAATTTGATTTTTCAATTCATCAAATAATCATCATTCAAGTTGATTACTGATTTATAAATTATTTGAAAAATTGAAAATGTTGGTTGACAATTAGTATAATAAAAATTATAATAAAATTTGAAAAATTGTACACTACACTTAATTTTATATGTAATAAAATAATTTTAATTCTGTACTGCGATTTTGTCTATCTCTTCATTTAAGAATGATGTTATTAAAAAGAACGATTTTAAAATTTCTTTAAAATTAAAAGTCTTTAAAATTTCTAAAAAAATACGGACTCCGAAAGTTGAAATAATTTCAATTATTCATTTACAAACAACGAATGTTTAAAAGAATAATAATTCTGTACAAAATGTCATTTGAATGACTCATCTGAATATTTATGATCTTCTTCAGTTTTTTTCACGCAACTTAGTTGTCAAATTTGATGATTGAAAGTGGTGGAATCTAGTGATTCTATGAATTTCTTCTATTTTATAATGACTGAAGCTGTGAAATAGTCAAATAAAACAGTAAAATGTCAATCGAAATAACTATAAAAAATTGTATTACCACATTATTTTAATTAAAAAAGTCCCTAGCTCTGCAATAAGTGCAATTGTTATTTTAAAAAACATTTGACTCCAAGTTTCCGGACATTTGACAATAATTTTATTATTTAAACTTTGCAGCTCTGAATTTGAATCTCGATATTGAACCATTGAAAAACATTTAAAAAATCTAAAAAAAATTAGAAAGTTTACTTTTGGAGGGAGATTAATGAAACAATTAACAAATTGCAATTTTTGAAAATTACGAACATTTTCTATAAATAATTTATACACAGTCAATTTTCCATCATAAAAATCATTTGCTAGGAATCGTAACCAATTTATTCATATTCATAATTTCCCCAGAAATCGATTTCATGCCTAAAAAAAAATAATAATTCTGTGCAAAATATCATTTAAACGACTATAAATATCCTGATTTAAAAAAAAAATTTCTCACACAAATTAATTGACAAATTTGATGATTGAAAATGGTTGAATCTATCCTGTGATTTATACCAAACTATAAAAAATACTTGGATACCCCAAAGAAATTCTAAAAAAAAAATAAAGAAAGACCCCACATTCTGGCTTTATAGACCCCCACAAAAAATTGAAAACTCGAATTTGAGCGATTCCAAGCTTCCTTGGACTATTCCAAAATTCTCAATGCATTCCTGATTTTTTCAAATTTTCTTCACACAATTTAATTAACAATTTGATGATTAAAAATAGTTGAATCTACCCTGTGATTTCAATTAAACTATAAAAGATACTTGGATACCCCCAAAAAATTCTAAAAAACTTAATTAAAAAAAAAATCACCATATTTTGGCTCTTTGGCTCGAATTTGAGCGATTTCAAGCTTCCTTGGCCTCTTCCAAGATTCTGAATATTCCTGATTGTTTTCAAATTTTTTTCACGCAATTTAATTAACAAATTTGATGATTAAAAATGGTTGAATCTATCCTGTGATGTACACTAAACTATAAAAAATACTTGAATAGCCTAAAAAAATTCTAAAAAAAATAATAAAGAAAGACCCCCACATTCTGGCTTTATAGACCCCCACAAAAAATTGAAAACTCGAATTTGAGCGATTCCAAGCTTCCTTGGACTATGCCAAAATTCTCAATATATTCCTGATTTTTTCAAATCTTCTTCACGCAATTTAATCAACAATTTGATGATTAAAAATAGTTGAATCTACCCTGTGGTTTCAATTAAACTATAAAAAATACTTGGATACCCCCAAAAAATTCTAAAAAACTTAATTTAAAAAAAATCACCATATTTTGGCTCTTTGGCTCGAATTTGAGCGATTTCAAGCTTCCTTGGCCTCTTCCAAGATTCTGAATATTCCTGATTGTTTTCAAATTTTTTTCACGCAATTTAATTAACAAATTTGATGATTAAAAATGGTTGAATCTATCCTGTGATGTACACTAAACTATAAAAAATACTTGAATAGCCTAAAAAAATTCTAAAAAAAATAATAAAGAAAGACCCCCACATTCTGGCTTTATAGACCCCCACAAAAAATTGAAAACTCGAATTTGAGCGATTCCAAGCTTCCTTGGACTATTCCAAAATTCTCAATGTATTCCTGATTTTTTCAAATTTTCTTCACGCAATTTAATTAATAATTTGATGATTAAAAATAGTTGAATCTACCCCGTGGTTTCAATTAAACTATAAAAAATACTTGGATACCCCCAAAAAATTCTAAAAAACTTAATTTAAAAAAAATCACCATATTTTGGCTCTTTGGCTCGAATTTGAGCGATTTCAAGCTTCCTTGGCCTCTTCCAAGATTCTGAATATTCCTGATTGTTTTCAAATTTTTTTCACGCAATTTAATTAACAAATTTGATGATTAAAAATGGTTGAATCTATCCTGTGATGTACACTAAACTATAAAAAATACTTGAATAGCCTAAAAAAATTCTAAAAAAAATAATAAAGAAAGACCCCCACATTCTGGCTTTATAGACCCCCACAAAAAATTGAAAACTCGAATTTGAGCGATTCCAAGCTTCCTTGGACTATTCCAAAATTCTCAATGTATTCCTGATTTTTTCAAATTTTCTTCACGCAATTTAATTAACAATTTGATGATTAAAAATAGTTGAATCTACCCCGTGGTTTCAATTAAACTATAAAAAATGCTTGGATACCCCCAAAAAATTCTAAAAAACTTAATTAAAAAAAAATCACCATATTTTGGCTCTTTGGCTCGAATTTGAGCGATTTCAAGCTTCCTTGGCCTCTTCCAAGATTCTGAATATTCCTGATTGTTTTCAAATTTTTTTCACGCAATTTAATTAACAAATTTGATGATTAAAAATGGTTGAATCTATCCTGTGATGTACACTAAACTATAAAGAATACTTGGATATCCCAAAAAAATCCTAAAAAAAATAGGGGAGGTTTGGGTAAAATGGGCACTTTTGATTTTTTTTTAAATGTTAATAACGGGTTGAAATGTTGATAAAATTTAATAAAAATTTTTTTCATTGCAAAGAATAATTCATTCCCTTAGTGATGAGCTTAAACTGAGCTCAACTGATAAATTTGTTTCTGAGTTATGCGTAATTAAAGCAAAAGTCTAAAGTGTCCATTTTACCCCACTCACCCCTAATTCAAAAAATCACTACATTTCGGCTCTTTGACCCCCGCAGAAAATTGAAAATTCAATTTTGATCGATTCCAAGCTCCCATTCGCAATCAAAAACATCGTGAAGGTTAAAATGTCAGTTAGAATCGTGAAACCCCCTTTGCCCCCTCATTATCGCGCTAATGTTAAAAATCTGGGGAAATCGAACGACTCGTTCCCACAACTTGTCCATTTACGTCAGATTTAAGGGTGTGCCTCGAATGTCGTCAACTCACCTTAATCTTAGCCATCGCAGCAGCGGATGCACCAAATCCCCGAACAAATGAATCCCCAAAACCTTTCGAACGTCTGGAATCGAACAGCCTTGATACTCGTGACTCGGCAATCACCGATGCACCGGGTAATCGTCCAGGGAAAGCCGAGCGAATGAATTTTGCGTTCGTCACGACGAACCCACGGGGCAGGAGGGACATGGCAACCCACCTCGCCGGCTTTATGTTTCACTCTAACTTTACCGAGTGCCCCTAGGCCTCTCTCTTTCTCCTCCCTGACGACCCGCCCCACTATGCACCTTCCCCACTCGAGTGTGTGACAACGCAGCGACTGGAAGGCTGAGTTACAAAATCATATTCATGATTTTTGTTTCGTTTTTTTTATTCCTCGGGGTCACGACACGCTCGACTCAATCGAGGAATTGACTTCGGGGCCTCGAAATGGCACTTGGCGATGGTTTATGAATGGAATTCCGGGGCCTCAGGCACCTTTGGACTGACAGGTGATAACGAAAGTTGACTTTTGACCGGCGAAATTCACTCTTCCATGAGATTTCCGTAGCGAAGCGGCTTAACTTTCAAGTCGAAGTTGACTATTACTAGGATTTCAGTGAATATCTCGGGATCTAAGGCAGGTAGCGGGATTTTTGTCATGACCTTTTTTGTAGGTCTCAATTCGCTCTAGAAAAAAGGTTTTTATGCAATTTGCGGTATGTCGCTTAGATTTGCAGATAACATTCGTTTTTTATTCAACGGTCTATTTTGAGTATTGGCCAGTTTTCAAGGAATATTATCTCGGAATATAAGGGAGATAGCGAAATTTTTGTTATGACCTTTTTTGTAGAGCGAATTGAGAACTACAAAAAAGGTCATGACAAAAATTTAGATATCTCCCTTAGATTCGGAGATATTTCTCGAAAACTCAGCTAATTCGCTACTGATTTCAGCAAAACGAAATTTGAGGATTTTTTAAAATTTTCCAGGGCTTTTTTCAAACTTGGAAATAAGCTTTTATTTATTCCAATGGCCTCACTCGGTCAACAAATATTGCTGATTGAAGATGAATTGTTTTTTAACGTTTGTTCAGTGGAATTTATTCCAAAATAAGATTTTAATAGCTCGTATTTCAATGAATATCTCGGAATCTGCGGTAGATAGCAAAATTGTTGTTATAACCTTTTTTGTAGAGCAAATGGAGGGCTACAAAAAAGGTTATTACAAAAATTTCCATATCTCCCTTATATTCGGCGATATCCCACGAAAACTCAGCTAAGAGCTAAGTTGGAAATGAGCTTTCATTTATTCCAATCCCTTCATTTTTTTTTATTTATGTATCAACCTACAGTGGGTTATTTACAAACGGTTGGATGAATATTAAATTTCAATTTGGCTTTACTTGTTGTCTTTTTGAATACAATAATTATTATTCTAGATTCTAATTTTGTTAGTTTTGATGAATTCACGTACATTTTTTATTGTGTTTGAGATCAAGGAGCGAGTCTATGGTAAACGGCCTTGGACATTTGAATTTGATTAGTTGTTCAATCATTCTTTCTCTTCACGTTGAAAATTCCTCCATTCGTTCGAAAAACATTGATGATTGAAGACTTATTGTTTTTTAACATTTGTCCAGTGGAACGAATTCCTAAATAAGATTTCTCGGCTTTCGAATATAATGGCCGGGGGGGG